CTCTCTCTCTCTCTCTCTCTCTCTCTCTCTCTCTCTCTCTCTCTCTCTCTCTCTCTCTGTGTTCACTGGTCTATATGTATCCTTTTTTCTTTTTCTTTCTTTTTGCTCTATATCTATCTTATGGATCCATTCATCTAGAATCTACAGATAGAAGGGGAAAAACCAAGAAAGTACATACGAGAAAACAAGATAATATAATTAAAGGAAGACCAAGCATTGCTTGGAGGCTTGCTTCCCATGGAGTGTGATGGGAGCCAACATTTGTTTGCTTGCTGCTCCGTGAACTCCGGAGGTAATGATTAGATACCTGCCACAGTTTTGATGACAGGCATGAGCCCTGATATCTGAAGGCCATCGCCCTTTTAAAAAAGAAAAAAAGAGCGAAAAAAGAATCTGAAACATCTGTTTAGGGGTAATTTTAGGCAAAGGCTGTACTGTACTCTCGTGCTGGGACGAGCGAGCAGGCGGAAAGAATTCTGGCCCAATGGGAAAGCGAGAAAGGAGGAATTTGAACAATTCAAAGAGTTGTGCCTCACCGGCGTTCGTCGGAGAGTTTCCCCTTTTTAATTAAGTACGGCACTGGATTCGTGATAATCCGCTAGGCTCCACTGCCCACAGATTTTGTTGCTCTTTGCGAACTTTTCCAGCCTCAACGCCGGTATCTGAGGGGGAGTACTCGACCGGATGGCCTCAGTGCAGTTGCTGCTTGGACAGACCTGCAAACGAGTTCTTGGAAAACGAAACCCTGCTGTGGCATTCCCAACTTGAGGGACCCTGAATCTGCCGCGGATCGTGGGCAAGTGAGGAGAACTGATTTCTGAGTGAAGACAGACAATTCACAGCGAAGACAGGCGAAATCCCCGAAAGGGAATTTTCTCAAATTCGGCAGTGGAGCCCCTGACTCTTCTAGGCTGGTGGAGCACGAGCAAAAGGCACCCAGGTGCTTCCTGACACCGACTTAAAAAAAAAAAAAAAAAAAGAACTTACACCGACTTTACGCCCCCTGCTGAAGGGAAACAAATAGTAAATGTTTGTGTGATAGAGCACCACCAAGACCACATTGATTGCCTCAGACTGCCAGAAATGAGGAGATTGCCTCAGACTGCCAGAAATGAGGAGATTGCCTCAGACTGCCAGAAATGAGGTAATCTCTTGGCTTTTATGCTGCTGGGTCTGTGCCTGTGATAGAGCACCCCGAAGACCACATAACTGCAAGGAACCCGACTGTTCATCACGTGCTGGAGTGCATCAGATCACATGCATATACATTGATTTCACAGATTGCGAAGTCTCACACAAAACCCAATAGAAGATGAATGAGAACCAGGAAGCTCAACTCAATTATCAAACCCAGATTGAGAGAGAGAACATCGTGAGTTCAAAATGTATAGCGCTGAACAGAGTTACAAGTCTTCTTCATTCAACATGAGTTCCAAGCCTGGCGCTCATCAGTGCCAGCTGCCAAATGTCAACAACAGCGCTCAACAGGTAAGTGCCACCATAGCTCACACTTCCCCCTGTCTCGTCTGCCTTCTTCTCTCTCCCTCTATGTCTATAGTCCTGGTCTACTCTTAATCATCATGCATGCACATTGCACACGCCCTATCACACGAGGATCTACTCTGAATACTACTCACTGGTATCTCCTACTGACTATCCCTACTAATATACTAACTAGCGCTGGCGCAGCTATGGCTGCCTTCCCTCTAGCCAGCACTCTCTTCCTTCCCACATAGCGCTGCTCTTCAGCCTAGCGCAGCTCACACACATCCAGCGCACAAGTGCCACAGCACTTCCGCACTCTCATGCGAAGTGAGCATCTGTCCAAATGGGAGGCTGGCCAGTCCTTTTTAGTGCTGGACTGGTCTGGCGTGGCCTGCATTCAGCCTCGAAGGTGCCTGGGACTCCTGCCCAGCACTGATTGTTGCAAAGTGTGTGTCCCAGTATCTTTTCCCATGGTCTGCTGTTGCTTTGGGCCATCGGGTCTGTCTTTTGGACTCCTGGTCTGAATCAGGACTGACTCGTGGGATTATGACTGGACTGGGACTGTGGCCTTTGACTCATTGCCGAACAGAATGTCTTTTCATCGAGGAGACATGACACTGACTCAGTCTTGAAAGTTGTGTCCAACACCTGTTCGTGCAGGACCTGTTGTGACCTTTCAAAATGACTTTCCACTTCATTATGGATGTGACTTTTACCTCAAGAACTTTGTCTTTTGAGTTGCTGCTCGTGAAGTTAAGTTCTGGCCGACAGGGCCCCTTGCTATTGGGGCATCCATTTGGGGTCTGATTCGTAAAGGCCCTTTTATAACAAGAGATTGCCGGAAATCTCTTTTATGAGGCATCTGTTTATTGACATGGTGGGAACTAATGGGAGTGAATAGTAGTTGGCCGAAATTGATTGTCCAAGTTGGCCAAAATTGTCAGGCCAAGCTGACCAAAATGTGAGTCTATGTTGGGCCAAAAGGTCTGTCCATTCTGGCGGAAATGGTCAGTCCATGATGGCCAAACTTGCCGAACCAAACAGAAAAGATGGTCGATTCCGTTTCTGTACTGAAGTTTCTTTGGTTCAGTTTTACCCAGTGGAAGAGGTTCTGCGGAGATCTTTGGTCAGCATTGGGTGTGTAGCATACTAGCAACCGCACGAGCCGCACATTCGTGCCGAGTTCAGTGCGGGGGGTGCGTGTGCGGATTCGTGCGTTTTTTTTAATTATTATTATTTATTTATTTTTTTCGGGAGGGGGGACAGGGGGCGTATGACAGGAAGATGGGGATATGACGAGGAGAGGGGGATATGGAGAGGAGGAGGAGGATATGGACGAGGAGGACGACAAGGATAAAGAGGATGACGATGAGGAGCAGAGATGGGGGAGGAGAAGAGATGGACGGAGGGAAAAGAGGAAGGGCAGGAGGAGGAGGACGAGTGGGAGGAGGAGGAGACATGGATGGCGAGGAAGGGGAGGACACGAGGAAGGTAAGGAGACGAGAAGGCATGGGAGATGAGGAAGTACGAGGAGCAGGAGGAGACGAGGAGGATGAGGAAGGGCAGGAGGACGAACAGGAGGAAGAGAACGAGCCGGAGGAGACAAAAAGGAGAAGGGAGGAGACATGGAGGATGAGGAAGGGGAGGAGGAGCGAGGTGAGGCAGCACTCCTGCAATTGTTTTTTTCATCCCACTTATAATTTTGGTGCGGGGGCTCGAACGCACTGTTTCGGCCCCCGACCTTCTTTTTTTTTTCGGAGGGGGGTGCATTTGCAAGTGTGTTGTGTAGGTTTAGTGACTGCTGCACACTCGAATGCAAAAACCAGTGCCATCCAGGACGTGGGGATGCAACGCATGCTATTCTTTGCAAGTGTGGCTATGACTAAACGTTGGTGGGGAGTTTATATGTGCATGGCTTTGATGGAGGAGCAGACCCTCAGCCAGGAATGCATCGGAACGAGACAAAGTGGACAAATACACGGGACAGAACGGGTAGACTGGATTTGGGCTACCTAGCTGGTTGTTCCTGTGGCTCTGGCCTGACTTTTCTGCTCCTCAGGCGCCATTTATTCCAAAAGGGCACGGGATTGGTAGATGTTGAAGCAGCCAACCACTGCTTACAGTACTTTGGTAGTCTCACCTGACCGATTGACCGACTGCTGACGGATTCGTACTGCTCAAGGGTTGCAGGTGGCGTGGCAGCTTTGGTGGGCGCTTGTGTGGTGAAAGGCCAGTGGCGAGAAAGATGCGCTGGTCTATGTGTCCGATTTTCGATTCAACGCGCGTTGAATTCGCATCAAATCCCGTTTAAATGCCCGTTAGACGCGAATAAACGGGGTTCGCAATGATTTTTTTCCTGGGCTAAACATAATCCAAAAAAAAAA